TAGCTAAATACAACAACAAAAACAAACGCCATCTGCTAGTTGCAGACTCTCCTCAGCACACCAACCTAACCCTGCTCTACTCCCATACATAGTATGATCATCGCAGTCCAAACCACATGGAAACAACAAAGGGTAAGCTAGTGAAAAGAAACAACATACATATATAGATATATGAATAATAAACAGCTACAGCTATTAGCACATCAATCAGCTTAACAACATCAGCTTAATATATATAAAAGCACACATCTCACATCATTCAACAATAATAGTAGTAAACAGCAGTACACAGCGGTAAATAGCAGTAAACACACAGTGCGTCGTCACGAATATAAGTTAGTATTGGTCGCTTGTAAGCGGTATAGCTCGACCTGGCCCCTCGTGGTCGCTTTGTACTCGTGTGCCTCGACCTTGCCCACACACGGGATCACTAAGAACCTAGAGGAGAACAGCAAGTTACCACTCCAAGGGTCAGCTTTCTAGGGAGGGTTTTCAACAAATTGGGCTCTAAGAGCACCACAGCCACTCAATCCGCACAATGGGATGAGGAATTTTGAAAAACATCTCCGCTAGTCTTAGTGATCAACAGCTCAGCCTTACGGCCTACAACAGCTCCTAACAGCACGGAGCACAGCACTGCATAGCAGTAATAACAGCACCGCATAACGGCAATAACAACACCACATAGTGGCAATAACAGCACCGACTTAGCGGCTATAACAACACCGACTTAGCGGCTATAACAGCACCGACTTAGCGGCTATAACAGCACCACATTAGTGGCAATAACAGCACCGCATAGCGGCAATAACAGCACAAGTCAACAATATACAGCACAACACAGCAAATCAGCATACAGCAATAGTGGCTTACAGCTCAGCTAAACAACTTACAGCACAGCAATATTGACATCCAGCACAGCTAAACAACTTACAACACAGCAATATCGACATCCAGCACAGCTAAACAACTTACAACACAGCAATATCGGCATCGAGCACAGCTAAACAACATAATTCAGCATTATCAACTAGTCAGCACAACAATATTTAACATCTACAGCTCAGCTCAGCATATCTATCAGCAAATTTCTACACATAACATCTTAACAACAATTATCATGACAGGGCCCGGCGCGCTCATAGTCGCGCCCAGCGTGGCACAACTAGAGAGCATCAGGGCTCAGCGCGCCCAACACAATTCCCATTGCGCCCGGCGTGCTAAGAGGGAGAGACCTCAGAAGGTCTCACACGCCCGGCATGCAAACCCTCGCTCGGTGCAGGGTAAACAGAGACTTCCCCAAAGTCTCACGCCCGACGCAATATAAATTGTGCCCGGCGCCACCTCTAGGAGAGACTCCCAAGGAGTCTCCACGCCCGGCGAGACAAGGTCACGCACGGCGCCTCACTAGGAATCCCCAAGCAATGTCACTTACTGATATCGCGCCCAGCGCGGTCCAATCACGCCCGGCAGAGGCCATCCAGAGGCTCACACCCTCAAGCTCGCCCGGCGCATACACCACTGCGCCCGGCGGCTTGCCCAATGGAGCTCTCTGATGGTCACGCGCCCGGCACGAAGAACTGCGCCCGGCGTGATACTCAGCAGCAACCCTCGAACTTTGAAAATTTCTTCAAAACCTACACCAACTCATCTTTCCATACGCATGCAATCGGCCCAAAACATCACATTTTCATCAAACGACCCAGAAATCCCATCTTTTCCCACATGTAACCACAATCAAGAAAAACCCCAAGATTTTCATCAAAACCCCGAAAACTCCGAAAAATCATTTTCATCAAAATAGCTCATCAATCATCAGAAAATCAACCTCTCAATGAGTTTATGAACTCATTTTCCAACAAAATCAGCCAAAGAACTAGCTTCCCTTACCTGAAGATTGGATCAGGATAGCCAAGAAGCGAAATTCCCTTTCCGAAGCTCAACCCGAAACTTCAATCCTTCAAAAGTAAGTTTTCTAGTCCAGAGCCCATCTCTCTAGAACTTCTCTCTAAAGACCTCCTCTCCTCAACTGCCCACAACCTCTATTTATAGACATTTCGGAGTGGCCAGAACGGCCTGTACCGAATCCAGAACGGTCTGTTCTGCACCCCTTCATCATGTGCAAAAATCACATGCAGAACGGCCCGTTCCAAAATCAGAATGGTCCGTTCTGGAACTCGTCCAGAACAGCCTGTTCTCCATCCGGAACGGCCCGTTCTCCATCTAGAACGGCTCGTTCTCCCTCCAAAACGGCCCGTTCTGAACCACGATATACAGGTCATTTTAATAGCTTGGAACGGCCCGTTCCAAATTAGGAATGACACGTTCTAGGCTACTAAAACACTAACTTGTACGTCACAATTATTATATTAATAGTTTCTATTTTAATATTTATATGTATGCTTTTATATATTGATATATTTATAAAATAATATTAATACTTTATAATGATTAATCATTATTGATGTTCATTTATATATATATATATATATAATACACTGTTAAAGCCCCCTTC